AACGATCAACGAGGTGTCACATCAGGGGCTCAAGTCGATGCTCTCCGCCATGTGGCAGGAAGGGCGTTACGACATCGACCACACGTTGGAGGCGGCGGTGGGCACGTATAACAGTACGCCGTGATGTGCTAAAGCGGTAATTCGGCCTCTCGCTCCACGCCCAACGTGTGTGTAGGCGACCTAACATTGTAATTCACATCCTTTCTTTTTTTATTTTTTGTTGTTGAAAAGTCACAGGCCCTCCCAACCTACAAACTTCTGTGCTGTCAGACTCTATCCCTACTCTGTTCTCCTTCCGTTACTGTATGACCTTGCAACTGGCATACCTTCCCTCCCAGCCTATTCCCACTTACTACTGCTCCTTCCCCTACCTACATTACAACCTACGGGCTGCTATCATTAGTCTTCTACCGGATTTTACCCATTTGCCTGTCCCTGGTTTGTTACCACTTCGCTCTATCTGTCGGTAACGCTCCACGCCGCATGTCAGCCTGGGCGTCAGCCCGTATGAGGTGCTGTTCGGGCGCCCGTCGTATGCCGCCCGCCGCTAAAACCTGGCCCGGTCCCCCTCGAGCCCAAGCGACGAAGAATGCTGAGCCTCCTTATGCAGGAGTGTTTCCGCCGCATACTCTTAAGAGACCTGCCCTTAGAGGGCCCGTCCGAGACGGAACTGCAGGTTGGCGACGTGGTCGTGGTGAGAGCCGACCCGGGCTCCGCCCCCGCTGGAGTCAATGGGCTCGCGTGCCCCACCTGGCTGAGTCTCATCCAGGTCACGCATATTTAGATGACCGTTGAGCGCTACCACGGCGGGGGGCGCGCTCTCACCGTGCACAAGATAAGGCACGCCGGTTCAAGTTGAGCACTGACCCCCACTGCGGTCGCTCACGATGGAGTACCACCATAAAGACCATCTTATCGGATGAGTTGGAGCGCAGCAGGACAGCAATCGGCTTCGCCAGGGATCGAACTTGCGACTTTGTGGTTAACAGCCACATTCTCTGCCGACTGAACTACGAGACCGTGCTGCCTCGCTCTTCATCTTTCAGTAAAGATGAACGCAGTGGTACGGTCGGAACAACGGCAGGAGCGGGGCATTCTGATTGGTTGTTGATGTCTGTGTGGGTCGGATCGGCGGCTGTCGGACCAGGATTTGGTGGGCAGGTTTTGCCAGCTGTCGGATCAGGCTGACGGACCGATCTTTTATACGGCTTTGGTGGGCACTTGGCATTTCGAATTTCCCACAATTTCCGGCGTAATTATGGGTTGCAGTTAACATGCTCCGTAGCCCGGGGTGCCGCTCCTGCCCAGGTCGCCCACCAGTGGTACGCTCGGAGTTGGAGTGGGACTCGAATCACCGTACTCTAGGTCGTCTGCAGACGTTGTGGTCGGCGCTCACCCCCTTGGCGGCTTCTCTGGAAATGCTGGCTCCTCTTTGGCAGGACTTTCGTGGAAGACAACCAAGTTGATTGTACACATCAGCAGCACTTCCACACAAAATTTGTGCTTCGCGTGTGCTCTTTTTTGGGGCTTGGAAAACAATTCTCTTTGGTACGTCCCGAAGTTTTTGGCTGGAGTGGGACTCGAATCACCGTACTCTAGGTCGTCTGCAGATGTTGCGGTCGGCGCTCATCCCCTTGGCGACCTTCTCTCGAAGTGCTGCTTCCTCTTTGGCAGGACTTTCGAGGAAGACAACGTTGATTGTACATATCGG